TACCAAGTTTCCATAAATTACAAAACAAAACACTAAAAACCAAACAAACCAAAAAACCCCACCTACTTTGAAGGAAAGAATGCCAAAGAGCTTTGACCTTTTCTGCCTGCCGCCTACCACAGAAATCCCGGCCTGCAGCTGATTTTAAAATTACCACATCTCCAAAAAATTATGGGAGATGGGTATCTTAAAAACACAATAGCTTTGATCTCATAGGTCAAATCCACATTGGCCTAAGTGGTAATTATTGAGGAAGGGGTAATCTACTTCATTCATTTTAGTAACCAATTCTTTCTCAGATTTGCCACAGAGCCAGCCCAACTTAATTAAGAAAGCACAATAATATCGGATTGAACTATTTTTTTCAACCCAAGAATTTTTATTATAGAGAGAACGCTTGGACAATTTAAGCAATTATATGCTTTATTTCTCCTTAGCTGTATCTCCATTCTTGCTAATTTACAAGGTTTTGAATTCAACTTGCGTTATTCTTAATATTTTACATCTCGTCTTCTTCCTTTTAGAAAAATTTAAACTACATTTCAGAAGGCTGCAGGGTAAGTGTTGGTGGCTAGTTTCTATGAGTAACAAGTAATATCCCCCGAGAACCCAGAGCACTGTCCTGGGGAACAGCAGGCCAAATTCTAACTGCCATGAAAAACTCTGCAGACCTAACACAGAAAGTCTAAAACTTGAGCCATGCTACTGGTCAGTTGTTGGGTCAATGTACATTCTAGATTTCACCATATGTCTCCCAAAATACCAGGAAAGCACAACCTACATAAACCTCTTTGCGTCCACATTACCACCGCGTGTGTTAGGAGGGGGTTACTGGGGATTGAACCCAGAGCTTCCTGAATGCTCTTCAAGCACTCTAGCCACTGAACCAGAGCCCTAGCCTACCACTTCTTCTCATTTAGATGCAACAGCTGCTAAAGAGCCAGGTACTGTGAAAGAAAACTGAACTTGCAGTCAGAGTCCAAATGTGTGGCTCCAGCTCTTCAGGGAACCAGTCAAAGTGTTTTAGAGCCATGGGCTAGGGTGTGCCCGCTGAAGCAGGCTATGCAAGTGCCAATCCGACTTACCCACTTTCTAGCTAAGTGACTCTAGGCAAGGTATTTAAATCTTGTGCTTTCATATTCTCATTTATAAGCCAGCAATGATGTCAATAACTACCATACTGAGTTTTTGTGAGGCTTCAAGATTCTAAAAGGGCTTAGCACAGAGCCTCAGCCCAGAGTAACTATTAGTACCAGCTGCATGACCTTGGGGATCACATTGACCCTCTCTGGGACTCTATCTCATCTTCTACACTAGAAGGGATCACTGTCTCATGTGGTCTTCAGGAAGACAGAATTAATTCAAGCGAGATAACATATATAAAAGTTATTTTTAGGGTCTGGGGTTGTGGCTCAGCGGTAGAGCGTTCACCTAGCATATGTGAGGCACTGGGTTTGATCCTCAGTACCACATAAAAATAAATAATAAAATAAAGGTATTGTGTCCAACTACAACTTAAAAAAAACTTAAAGAAGTTATTTTTAAAACATAATCAAGTTTTAGACATCTTGTTCAACCAAGAAGAATCAGTTCCTTTCTTTTGTTCTGTTTCCATGATACTTAAAACATATGCACGTGTGCACACATACACACAATAGTGATCTGCTTACCTGTCCACCCCACTCCCCAACCAACAGTGTATCTAAGTCACCTCTGCATCCTCAGCACCAGACAGTTACTCAATTAATTTTTATTCAAATGAGCCTTGTCCGAACAATGGAGCAGGAATTCTTGAGGCCTTTTGCTGGATGGATTGTCACTTTTGCTTGGTGTCTTCCGTAGATCACACAGGAAGTGCTTGTTTTTCTCCAGTTAGAATGTGCTGAGATTCTGCCAATCTTATGAGTTTGCATTTGTTTATTCTTTTCACTGAATAATTATTGAGCACCTGCAGACTGCAAGGTCCAAAGCTGAGCTCCATCCAGTGTGCCAAGAGTGGCAAATGCCCAGATGAATTTAGTCCCTACATACTACATGTAGAAGGAAACTACTTGTTGTAGAATCACCTACTCTTTGAAATAATGAACTCCTTGGTTTGATGACTATATTGGATTGGATTACAGGAAAGAATGGGTTCCTGGAAGTAAAGGTCTTTATAGAATAATAATTAAGGTCAGGAATCTGACTGCCTGAGTTCAGATCCTGGATCTGGTTTGCACCAAGATGCAAGAACTTGAAAAAAAATTCCTGTATGCCTCATTTTTCTCATCTGTAAAATGGAGCTAATAGGATGGGTAAGTTAGAAAGAAAACTCCTGGGAATCTTTTACAATGGTACTTGCCACATAAACAACACACAACTGTGTGCTCTCTGTGATGATTAACCCCATTCTCCCCACTCCCTCACCCCACTGTTTGAATTTCCATTGCAAATTTCCATTGCAAATGGGGCCTGGCTACTCAACTTCTGGGTGTCGTACCACCAGGGTCAGGAATTTACTACATCCTATGCTTGTCCATTTGGTTGCTAAGCAAATTGAGTTGCTGCTAAGTTTCAGGGAATTAAGCTATGCATTCTTACATCTTCCACTCATCGGTCTTCCATCCATCATTTGGGATTACCCAAAAGAAATCGAATCTGTCCAATGTGGGATGGTCCCTGGAACTTCAGAAGGCAGCTATGAACTGCCAGTTCTCACCTTCCTCTCACATGCCCACACATAACCTTAGCTCCTCTTGCTATTTCTAATTAACACTGTTTACCAGATTCTTTATAATCCTTTTTACTCTTCTTGAATAATCTCCTTATTTTCAACATCTGAATGTCTGAAGTCCAGCATTCATAAAACAGAGCAAATGTGGTCTGATCACCAGAAAGTATTAGAGAACTAGTTCCCTTTTGAACACCATATTTCTATTAACACAAAAGATTGATTTTTTTTTTTTAAGCAACATCACACCAGGTTGACTCATCATCCACTCACAATCAACAGGGGACTAAATCTTCGTGACATGTGCAGTTGTAAGCTATCCCGCCCCCACTCTATACTTGTATAATTGAATTTTGGGATCATTGAGCACTTTATATTTGTACCCATTAGCTTTAGATTGTTAGATATGAGTCATTATTACATTTGTCAGGAGCTAGGGGGAGGAAATCCTGACTGTTGTGTGTCATCTGTAACTTTGTTCAGTATGCCCATCAATGTCACCAGCTTAGTCATCAATAAAAGTCTTAGGGGGCACATGGTTGCAAGACAGACCTGTACTGGATCTAGAAACCTGGGTATGCATCTGCCTCTTAAAAACAAGACACTTTCAGGGGCTGGGGTTGTGGCTTAGCGGTAGAGCGCTCACCTTGCCTGTGTGAAGCCCTGGGTTTGATCCTCAGTACCACATATAAATAAATAAATAAAATAAAGGTATTTTGTCCAACTACAACCAGAAAATATATATATATATATATATATATATATATATATATATATGACACTTTTAAAAGACATCATTTAGGCTTGGTATGGTGGTTGACAGCTGTATTTCTAGCTACATGGAAGAACATTTTACATGGGAGGCTGAGGAGGGAAGACCGCAAGGTTGGGACCAGCCTGGGCACTAGTGAGATACCATCTCAAAAAAAAAAAATCATTCATTCAGTCATCAAATATTTACTGAGTACTTTCCATGAACTATTCCAAGTGCTGTACAAAACAAAATCTCTGCCCTCCTGGGGCTTACATTCTAGAAGGGGAAATAGACAATGAAAAATAAGAAGACATGTAAGTTGCATTCAATTTTATGAAAAATGAAAGCAAATAAAAGACTGGAGAAGTTGGACAAAGGGATGGAGGTGGGGACTGTCTACAGGCTGTATGGCTAAAGCAAAATGCGCAGGTCCTCATTCCCAGTATGCGTCTGACCCAAAAGTTCTTCCCAAGTGGGCAGCAAGTCTTTCTGATTTCTCAACACCCCCCTTTCTCTATATGGAATTATATTAGAACAAAAATCAATAGAGCAATGATGAAGAATTTAATTAGTCATGAAACAAAAAAAGAAAATTTGAAAGGACTTCCCACTTTTCTGTCCACATAGGATATTCAAATATCTTAAGGACAAGTGGAGTTGCCAGGAAGCCAGTCACATCTCCTAACGAAGACTCCAGAGAGACTCTACAGGCCCAGTACATGGTTGAAAGCAAAACAATAGAGGAAAAAGCTGAAAAGCTACTGCTTACCTTATTCCAATCCCCATGTTCTCAAGAATGGAGTGGGTTCCAAGTCCAATAGCCTGTGAAGAATCTGGAGGATGGGGTACTTAGGTGACCCCAAAGCTCGGCTCAGAGAGACTGCACATTGAATTCTGGAAAAGAAGTTCATAGTGACAGATTGGAAATCTGCCTCTATCAACTGCTCTCTGCTCATGATTTTAATGTTGATATATTCTTCTAAAATGTGGGGGGGGGGGGGGGGGGTACTGGGGATTGAATCCAGAGGTGCTTGACCACTGAGCCACATCTCCAGCCCTTTTTATTTTGAGACAAGGTCTCACTAATTTGCTTAGGACCTTGCTAAGTTGCTGAGGCTGGCCTCACCCTTGTGATCCTCCTGCCTCAGCCTCCCAAGTCACTGGGATTACAAGTGTGCCCAGTTCTTCTAAATATTTTCAATCTTTACATTCCTCTATTATTAAGGGACTTGATAAATCTTTATTTATTAAAATTCTAGTTGTGCTCTTTGGTTGGAAATTCATCTTATACCTCACAATGATACCTTTGGTATTTACTTTCAGTCATCTATTTTGTACCATAGACTTTGTTGGTGCTGGGAATACGATAAAATATGGTCACTGCTTCCAGGAGGCTCACAATAGAGAGGGAGGTAGAAACAGGAAAGCCAGTTCTAAGGAAGCAGTGTGTTGAGCAGAGAAAAGGATGGGAAGTGGGAATTCAGTGACTTCTAAGCAGAAAGAGTTAATCCTAAGGAGGTGGCATGTCCTTTTCAGGTAGAGGCACCGCACACACTGTGGAAATAACAGAACGGAACCTGCAGGCCGAGTACCAGCCCCGAATGCACTTCCATGCAGGTGAGGCAGAGAGAATCAGGCAAAGTGGTCAGGGATGAGAACTGGAAAGGTACAAAGGACTGCATTATGCAGAAATGTGCAAGCCATGTTATCGAGGAGGTACCCTGCGCTGGAATGGTGATTGATTACATGTTGACATTTCAAAGAGAGAGAAGTTGAGACTGCAGATCGGATTTTGGGCTTGGGCAACAAGGTGGATAGTGATGTCTCTCATAAGACAGTGGAGAACATGAAAACGACATGGACAGTAGGTGGGGGAGCATGTGACCCATTCAGCCCTGGATGGGTTCCTTTCTGATGCCTGGTGAGCAGTCAGAGCACCAGAGGGCGGTTGGATCCAGAAGTCAGAAGATACAGGTTTAGAAATCATCAGTGACCATAGAATCCACAGTGAAGCTCACAGTGTAGGCAGAGGAAGGACCCTGAGAAGCAGATAGAAGATGCAGCCAGAGGACAGGGGGCAACAGGAAGCAGAGCTTATCTCAGAGGATGAGGGGAAGCACATTTCACATACACGAGGGTGTGGGGCAACAAAGGCAGACGCTGTCAAGAGATCAAGTAAGAAAGACTGAGAAGCACCCACAGGTGCACCAAGGAAATATTTGACCATTTTGGTAAGGAGCTGGGCTGGTGGGGACAGAAGTCAGGTCACAGTGAATTGAGGAGACCACGGGACCAATGAATTCAGACAGTGTGTCAAAAGTTTGCCTTCAAAGTGGAAGAAGACATGATCCCTAGACCTTCTTCCCAAGGGAAGGAAATTGAGTCCTGAGGGAGGCCCATTTTCAAGAATTTTTATTTACACTAGCGCAGCTGACCACTGTGGCAATGCTCTGGGCAGACATGGTCCAACCACTAGCCCTGGACTAGGCCAGAACTGTAAGGTAAGCCATTTATTTATAATTTTATGTTCTCCTCGTAGGTGTTCCTGGGCCAAGGCCTGCTGAGATGCAAGAAGGTACGCTGACCTCTCTGAGCAATCCACCAACGACATGACCTACAGAGGGACAAATCTGGTCAGACACGGTTCTCACAGTCATTATCTCTCACCTATTGTCATGGCTCATGTAATGGGAGCAGCCAGGGGAGGGGAGAGGAGTCTGGTCACCTTGGAGTCAGGAACAGGCAGCTGGCCCCACAGCTGGCCAGGCAGCTATGCAAGCAGGGAGTCTCTCTGAGAGCAAAATCCAGAAGCCAAAATAAATGGGTCAGGTGGAAAACAGATGACTAGAACGGCAAGCCATGCTGAAGGTTGGTCCCAGGGAGTGAAGGTGAGCCAGGACATAATGGATGGATGCTGGGGGGGCTTTGGATGCTGCAGGAGTCCAGGGGGCCGTGCAGGAACAGGGACCAAAGAACCAGAAAGGAAGTAAAGCTCAGAGGCCCGATGCGATTACGCTGTCCACATGTCCACATCTCCACCCTGCATGCTTCTGAGGCCCTGCTTTAGTTCTCAGGCCTTCATGATACGAAGTTTCTGACATTCACAACAGTCCCCCAATTTTAACCCCCTCTCCTACCATCATGACCCCGAATTCTGAGGAGACAGCAAAGCTCTGGCCCAGGAGCTGCTAAGGGGGTGCCCACAGGCATTGGTGGTCACCAACCTAAAAAGGTCATAGGAATGGCTCTCCCTGGGGAGGAAACAGGCCTGACCGTATATTTAGTCCCTGAGTGAATAAGAAAACTACCTAGTGACTTGAAGAGTGGAAACTTGATTTCTAAATTATGATCCTTCCAGGACGTCTAGATTCTCTAAAGTGCACACTGTGAGGAAACGGAAAGGCTTAACTGTCTTCAGTTTCTGATTAGAGCACAGAAAAGAGAGAGAACACTAGTAAACAGCACGTATTAGCCCAATATTTTTGGTTGGTGCGCAGAAGGCCAACCGAGTTTTCAGCTGAAGATTTTTTTGTTGTTGTTTTTCCATTTCCCTAAAGTCAATAATCTTTACCTGCTAGATATTGCTTAAAGCAGAATTTTCATCTAATTCTCATTTGAGGGGACTGAAAAGGAAAAACTAAATAATAATACCTCATTTGTGTATAATGCTTGTCTTTCACAGAAGACACCCTACCCATTTAGGACTATCTAATTTAGAGTAACAACGCTTTTATAATGTAAATACTAGTAAGGGCTATTATCATTTTATAAATGAGGCATGAAAGAAATCCAGGGAGGTGGGAATGAAATGACTGGTTCAATGTAACTTCCATTTAAGAGGTGTCATTGCTGGTTTATTTTTCACTTTTTATTAACAACGAAGCCACATTTTGGATAAACATGTTTATTAAAGGTGTATCTTGCCCTTACATTTGAAAATGAAAAATCTCTTAGGGAGAAATAACAAGGACCAACATAGTCACGTGACTCCTCGGATCCAGCTGCTCTCATGAATCTAGAGCTAACCAATCAACTCCCGACCAACTCTGCTCATCCTCGGCAGGGATCTCAGCTGGCACCACATGCATCACAAGCCACTCTGGTGCCATCCCCTCTCCGTGGGAGTTATGTCATAATGGTCTTGTTGCCTCGAGTCGACCTGGGAAACGCCATTACCTATACAAATTTAGCACATTCGTAAAGGCACTGATACTCTTGTTCTTTCATGAGCTTCAGGTCAGAGAGTTTTTCTGATCTTTTAATGTATTTATTCACGTTTTCATTTCCTCACACTCTCAAGCATTCATGCATTCATTTGACAAACATCTTGGGCCCAAAATGTATTGTTTTAGATATTCTAGATGTTAAGGATAAAAACAGGGAAAAGACAAAATCAACGACTTCAAGAAATGCACAGCCTAGTAAAGAGCCAGATTAAACACTTGCTGTTCATTGTGGAAGGTGAGGAGATAAGAGATAAGGACAGAATAGTTTGGGGAGCACAGAGGGGAAATCTGGCTTGATCTGTGTGGGGTGCCCACAGGCATTGGGAGTCACCAACCTAAAAAGGTCATAGGAATGGCTCTCCCTGGGGAGGAAACAGGCCTGACCCTTGATTTAGTTCCTGAGTGAATAAGAAAAGGGAAGGCCTTGGACAGAGGTGGTCTGAGAGCCAAGCACTCCTGGAAGAGGACCTGTGCACTCCGGGTGTGGGGGACAGCATGTGCAATGACATGAATAAGATCACACTGTGCCTCTGGAGACCTGCAGGAAGGTCGTATGATGGAGGGTGCTTTAGGTATTCGATGACGGGTCCTGTTTGCCATCTCAGGCCTGGAGATCCTCGTGAATGACTCTATAAAGGGAAATGTCTTGTCTGCCGTCGTGTAAGTAAAAACACTTTCTATGTGGATCTGTACTCACTATTTAAGGAATATCGCAGAGGGAAAAGCACACAGTCAAGGTTTCTCTGGTCTCCCCAAGTTTTGTATTATCCATATTTCTTTACTATTATCCTCCAGGGACTAATAGAAACAGCGGACTTTTTCATCAAATCTAGGTGGTCTCTTAGCTCATTTCCATTATATTTTACTATAAAAATTTTGTATGTAGAAATACTTCAAAATACAAGTGGGTATGGTGGTTCACATGTATAATCCCAGTGATTTTTTTTGGGGGGGGGGGGTGCTACGGGTTGAACCCAGGACCTGGGCATGCTAAGCAAGAACTCTACCAACTGAGATATATCCCCAGCCATCCCAGTGATTTGGGAACTGGGGTAAGAGGATTGTAAATTCCAGACCAGCCTGGGCAATTTATGAGACCCTGTCTTAAAATAACACTCAGTGGTAAAGTGCCCCTGGGTTTAAACCCTAATACATAAACAAACAAACACCCCATAGCATTTTCAATTGCATGGTTGGATGGGGCAGGTTTTTCCTCTTAACCTTTTTCAGACTGTTCAGGTTGGAGCTGCCCAGCCTCCAAAAGGACAGAACCAGCCTTATAAGTTTTTTAGTGGCAACACCAGGAGGAGGTACTTGGAAATGGCCTCTGAAAATTCTACACCAAGTCCCTGTAGTGACAGCTCTTTCCTGGGACTCCATCTTCCCCTCAGAAAAGGCTGGCATGGAGGCCTGTATGAACTGAGGCCAGAAAGAGGGAGAGAGAAGAAATACAAACACAGCAGAATTCACACAGAACTGTCCTTAGACTAATCTACTGCCTCAGTGATCATACTCTGCATTCTCTTGTCACTTGTGAAGAACTTTGACACTGAAATCACACCCTCATTTATACTTGGGAATTTTTCAGCTACTTTAAGAGTTCAAAATAATTCATTGATATTAGTTCCGAATTCATGGGATCCTCTCTGACATATATCATTTCTTCATTTATCCAGGCTTCACCCATTCAAGAAGCATCTACTGCCTCATCTCTATCTCTTAAAGCCAACCCAATCAGCCTTCTGCTCCTGTTACTCCATTAAACACACAGCTGAGAAGTCTCACTGACTTCCATGATGTTGATTCCAGTGGTTTGTTTTCAGACCACATCTCACCCCCTCTGTAGCCTCTTAGCACAGATGATTGGTCCCTTCTTATTGACACTTGCTGTCTTCCTTCCTCCTTGTTCTTAGTCTCTTGCTGGGCTCTTTCTGATCTCTGAATGTTGGAAGTCACCTTGGGCTTGCACCTCTGTCATTGCCCATTCAGTCCATTGCTTTAAATACCACACCATGGAGGTTGGGGATATGGCTAAGGGTAGATCTTGCAAAGGGTGCATGAGACCTTGGGTTTCCTTCCTAGCACCACAAAAATAATAGACAAATACCATCTCTGTCACCCTGGCCTGTCTTCTGAAGAGGGCTTCTTTCCCCAGGGGTGCTCAAGTTTGGGCTGGGCCCTGAAGGAGGAGAGATGAGTTGGCCAAGAGGAGAAAATATATTCCCCCCCACCAAGGGGAAGAAGATGAGGAAAGAGGGCTGGGTTGTGGCTCAGTGGTAAAGCACTTGCCTTGTATGTGTGAGGCACTGGGTTCAATCCTCAGTGCCACATAAAAATAAATAAATAAAGGTATTATGTCCATCTACAACTAAAAAAATTTTTTTAAAAAAGGCTCAGTTGGTAGAGTGCTTGCCACACCGGTGCAAGGCCCTGGGCTCAGTCCCCAGCACTGCAAAATAAGTAAGTAAATAAATAAATGGGCTCAAAGGTGTGAAAAGAGAAAATGTTCAGAGAATAGGAAGCGGTCTGGTGCAGGTTGGAGATGATTGGTAAGTAGGTTCTAGGTAGGTTTCAAGAACTTTGATGAACAGCTAAGGAATATGGACTTTACACAGAAGACGAGAAGTAATTCTTAGAGGTCCTTAAAGAAGGGAGAGACATAAGTATTTATGTTTCAAAAATAAAAATATGAATTTTGGCAGCAAGATGGAGGCTGAACTAGATTAAGGAGAGAACGTGGCCAGGAAGGTCAATTACGAACCACTGCAACAGTCTATAAGGAAGGGATTAAGGTCTCTACGGCAACAGTGGAATGAAAAGTAGTGAATAGCCGGGTGAGGGGCACACAGCCATAATCCCAGCTACTTCGGAGGCCAAGGCAGGAGGATTGCAAGTTTGAACCAGCCAGGACAGCATATCAAGACCCTGTCTCCAAATTTTCGGGACAGGGATTGAACTCAGGGCACTTAACCACTGAGCCACATCCCCAGTCTTATTTTGTATTTTATTTAGAGAAAGGGTCTCACTGAGTTGCTTAGCGCCTTGCTTTTGCTGAGGCTAGCTTTGAACTCATGATCCTCCTGCCCCAGCTTCCCAAGCTGCTAGGATTACAGGTGTGTGCCACAGCTCCTGGCTTCAAAAAAAAAAATTTTATAAAGGGGTGGAGGATGGAGAAAGAACTAGCGATATAGCTAAGTGGGAAAACAGCCCAGGGTTCAATACCATGTACCGAAAAAAGAAAAGAAAAATGTAGTGTTAAAATCAGGGGGGATTTAGAAACAGCATCAAATACACCATGATTGATTAGGTGTAAGTCTGGCAGTACAGGAGACAGGCCAAGGTTAAAGTTTAGTTACATTCAACACAGGGAGACCAGGTGTGGAGGGGATGATTAGTAGCATTTTAAGTTTGAAGCAATTGCAGGGTGTCCAGTATGAATGAATGACAGGTCTGCAGATGAGGAGAGAGGTTGGACTGAATGCACAGATTCAGATAAGCCTTCATAATGGATAGGATGTCCTGGGGAAGACAAACCACGAGCCCAGAATGAAAGCATGCAGGCAGCTGTCAGGAGAGAAGAAACAGAGGTTGGGGTAGGACTAGAAACGAACCTGCAGAGAGGTGGCACAGGAGTGGGACAGAGTAAGGTCTGTCAATAGAGGGAGAAGCCACCTTCTGAGAGGTAATGATGGGCCAGGATGAAAGGACAAGGAGGTGCTGTAATTTAGAAGATGAGACAAACAGTGTCTAGAGAGTTAGAAGCTGGTCTGCAAGGGACCTAGCTAAGCCTCTTTTTTGCAGTGTGGCTGGGAGCAGTCCAGGTAGTGGTGGAAGAAGGTGGAGCAGGGCCAGGTGTAGGGATGGGAGTTTTAAGTACAGCAGGTGGCCGGTCATCCAGCTTCTGTCCACAAGACAACCTCTGAGTGTTTGCACAGCCAAGCATTCTATTTGGTTCAGCCTATATTCATTGAGCACCTGCTGTGTCCAAAGTAGCAGACCAGCATTGCAACGCTCAAAAAGACATCCCAGGTGCAGTCATGTTTTGGCTTTTCATTTATCAGCCTAAACTTGCCTTCTTCTGACCACAGCTCTCTGTCCTCTGGAGCTGTACCTGATGCAACAAGAGTTTCTTCCATACAGCAGTCCTTCTGCTAACTGAAGATTCCTCTCCCCTGCCCCCTTGGGGATTTCCCACTTGTTTCAGTTTTACAAAATAATCTGGTCTTTACACACGTGTATGTTTGTTGGTAGGTAGGTATTTTATTATCAGCTGGCTATTTCCCTCCAAGTATCCATAGCTAATCTCTTTTAAAGTGTTGCACTCACCTAGGCATGGTGATAAACACCTGTAATCCCAGTGACTTGGGAGGCTGAGGCAGGAGGATCTCAAGTTCAAAGCCAACCTCAGCATTTAGCAAGGCCCCAAACAACTTAGTGATATCCTGTCTCTAAATAAAATATAGAAAAGGGCTGAGAGTGTGACTCAGTGGTTAAGCACCCCTGGGTTCAATCTCTGGTACAAAAAAAAAATGTTGAATTCAAAGTTAATTGCAATTGTCTTCATCTAGTAAAGCAGTGTACAAACCAGTAGGAGCATCCTTTCCCTTGTTCAGGACATGGTCCCTGTGGTCCCACCACCTGAGATTGTAGATTGTATATGCGTCCTGAGGCCATACTGCTGCCTCCAGGTGCTTCACAATCAATATCCTGACATCTTTTGGACTGGAAAGTTTTACAAACTAGGTCTCACCAAATCTTACACTTTTAAAAGTCAATTGCAGGATTTAACATTTTTCCCTCACTAAATATTATGTTTTTACATTGATTTTTATTGCCAAGTAGTAAAAACAACAAGGGTTAACCAGGTGTGGTGGCACACGCCTGTAATCCTAGCAGCTCAGGAGGCTGAGGCAGTAGAATCATGAGTTCAAAGCCAGCCTCAGCAACAGCAAGGTGCTAAGCAACTCAGTGAGACCCTGTCTCTAAGTAAATACAAAATAGGGCTGGGGATGTGCCCCTGAGTTCAATAACTGGTACCCCCCTGCACCCTTCCACCTCCACCCCACCCCCTGCAAAAAAAGAGCAAAGGCTTAGGAGTCAGGCATTCTACATTCAAATTTTGCTTTTGTTAGGTAGCCTACTGACTTTGAATGTGTCATGTGATCTCTCTGAGTCTCAGTGAGCTTAACACTGAGAAGAGAGCTAATCCTGTCCACATTGCAAAGTGGTTCTGAGGCTGAAACAAGCAGGGTAGAATATCTACTGAGTGCTCAGTATATTTTGGTTTTCTTGCTTTCCTTGGATTCTCTCAGCTTTGTGTTCTTAGTAGATGTATGCCTTTCGAGTTGCTACTCAAGATTAAAAAAACTTTCTTTTAATAAAAAGAAAAGCCAGGCACAGTAGCACATGCCTATAATCCCAGTGACCCTGGAGACTGAGGCAGGAGGATAGTAAGTTCAAAGCCAGCCTCAGCAACTTAGCTAGATCCTAAGCAACTTAGCAAGACCCTGTCTTAAAAATAAAAAATAAAAAGGGCTGGGGATGTGGCTCAGTGGATAAATGCCCCTGGGTTCAATGCTTGTTAAAATGAATAAATTAATAAAATAAAATAAAAATAAAATGTTGACTATAATAGGAGCCAAGGACCAAAAGAAAATACTTTGGCATGACGGTTAAGCAAATGGGTTCTGCACCCAGATTTTCTGTTATTGGATCCCAGCTGCTCTACTTACTAGCTATGTACTCACAAATGAATTTATAAACCACTCTGAGCCTTGGTCTACTCATCTGTAAAATGAGGATATCAGTACTTCTCAGATGTTAGGGAAGATTAACAAAGGTAATGATGGAAAGCACTTCTGCCCAGAACCTTGAATCCAATAAGTATCAGTGAGTGGTATTATTATTATTATTACCACTTAGAAACCTCCAGGTAAACTAAGTCCTATGAATCCACTTTTGTATATAATCATTTCATCTACTAAATATATTGTATAATATTGTCCCATTATATTGTCTACCAGGATCCCTAGAAAATCTCTACAATGTCAGGTACTACAAATATGCCTCTACTCTTTGGACATAGGAACCTTATCTACAAAACAAAACAAAACCAAAAAACCAAACAAACCAGGTTTAAGATTTTGGGCAAATCACTTAACATCTCTGACCTGTGGCTTCTGCATAATGGGAATAATAATGATGCCTATTCTGGAGGTCTGGAATGGAGACCTCATGACTTGAATATGGAGATAAGGAAATGAGGGTAATTTGCAGGTATTTAACTTAAGTGAACCCGCGCTGGCGCTTACTTATACGGGTTTTCTTTTCCCAAGCAACCTAAACTTATCAGTGAATAGGTTCTAGAATTCACTTTTCCCCTTTTAAAAACTGGCATAATTGCCTAACCTCAGGCATATGGTACTTCTTTCTTCAGTGATTCTTCACAATGTGTCTATGATCATATCTGGAAGTATTTTTTGTATCCCTAGATGTAGTTTATATGGATCTGAAGATTTGAATTCATTTAAATTTGAATCTTATCTAAATTTAAATTTTATTTAAATTTACATTGCCATCATTCACCTTGGGATCCCATTTCATCTTAAATTTTTCTTCTCTCTCTCTCTCTCTTTCTTTCCTCCTTATCATTTTTCTTTTTGCAGTACTGGGGATTAGGCAAGTGCTGTACCACTGAGTTATACCCCCAGTCCCTTAAACTTTTTCTTTATCCTGACCGGAAGAATATGTATGTCTGCTGAGATAGATTTAGAATATACATAAGTCATGAAGAAGAAAATAAAATCCATTTGAGTTCACTACCAAGATATAACCACTGTTGCTGGGTGCAGTGGCAAACACCTGTAATCTCAGTGGCTGGGGAGGCTGAGGCAGGAGGATCACAAGTTCAAAGCCAGCCTCAGCAAAAATGAGGTGCTAAGCAACTTAGTGAGACCCTGTCTCTAAATAAAATACAAAATAGGGGTGGGGATATGGCTCACTGGTCAAGTGCCCCTGAGTTCAATCTCCAGTAGCCCCTCCCACCAAACCCAAAAAAGATATAACCACTGTTAATATTTTACTAGTCTTTTTTTCCTGAGAAAATATATTTAAAATAAATGACCAACATTTTCTGATGCCATGACATCTTCCCAAACCCACTTTTTGTTGTATACATACATTCCATCATAGGAATATACCAATATATGCAATAATTCTTTTTGACACTTAGATGTCCAAATGCTCAATGTTATAAAGAATGCTGTACTAGCCAGGCTAATCCCAGGAATTTGAAAGGCCAAAGCAGGAAGATTGTCAGTTCAAGGTCAGCCTCAGCAATTTAGTGAGATTCTGTCTCAAAAATTTAAGAGTAAATAAATAAAATAAAAAGGTCTGAGGATGTAGTTCAGTGGTAGAGTGCCCAGTTCTGCAAAAATAATATAATATAATATAATATAATATAATATAATATAATATAATAAATATTAAAAGACTGGTATGCAGCTCAGAAGAGAGCCCTTGCATTGTAGGTGTGAGACTCTGGATTCCATCCTCAGTACCACCAAAAAAAAAATGACACTAAATGTTCTTCTACATTAAATTTTGTGAGCATTTCCAATCATTTTCTTTGAATAACGACTTAAAAATGAAATTACTGTGTTAAATGGTTTGTATATTTTAATTTTTTTAAAAGTATGTTCTTATTTCCCTGTTTAAATTTTTTTTTAATTGTCAATGGATCTTTTATTTTATTTATTTATTTATATCTGGTGCTGAGGCTTGAACTCAGGGGCCTCACAAATGCCAGGCAAGCAGCAAGCACTCTACCACCAAGCCACAACTCCAGCCCTATTTTAAGGTTTTTTAACATTCAATGACAAATTGCTCTGCGGAATGCTTATATCAGTTCAGGCTTCCAATATAATAGGAGTGCAATTATTTCCCTGAATCTTTATTTATGCAAGAAAGCATCTTATAAATGTTTTTGACCATTTGCAAGGCTCAAAGGCATCTGGCTGGTTTTTTGTTTGTTTGTTTGTTTGGGGCAGTGCTGGAGAACCCAGGGCCTCACACATGCTAATCACATGCTCTACCTCTGAGTCTCACCCCCAGTCCAGGCTTTTACTTTAATTTGCATTTTCTTTAATTACCTGTGAGACTGAATCTTTTTTTTTTTTTTAATTTTTTATTGTTGGTTGTTCAAAACATTACAAATTTCTTGAGAGACTGAATCTTTTTAATCTTCGATGACTATTTGAATTCCTTTTTTCTTTTTGTCCTTTCATGTTCTTATTTATTCTTTTTTTTTGGGGGGGTGGGGGGCTCTGGAAATTGAACACACAGGGAATCTACTGTGGAGCTACATGCAGGTTCCTTTTTATTTTTTTAATTTTGAGGCGGCAACTCACAAAATTGCCCAAGTTGACCTCCAAATTGAAATCTAAATCCTCTTGCCTCAGCCTCCCAGTTGCTAGGATTGTAGGTGTGGCCCACCACCAGGCCTGGCCTCTTTACTCATTCTTTTGAGATGTTGTGTTTTTCTTATAATTGTGTAAGATTCCTTTCTATGTTAAGGACACTACCCTTTGTTATAGTTCTATCTAAAGTCCTAGACATGTCATTTGCCTTTTAATTTTGTTTGTGATGCTGTTTTATCTCCATAAATTTAAAAGTTCTAAGTAATCAGACATATCAACATTTTTCTTTTAGAAATCATCAAGCTTTATGTTTTTGTTCTCGAAGGCCTTTTACCACCTGCGGATCAAGCAATGCCTGTGGCATTTTCCTCTTTTCAACGAATGTCACTTTTCTTATGTGGGTCATTTTCCACAATGAACCCCTTAATTCATCTGAAACGTATTCCATTCCTTCTTAACTGTTGTTTGTTCCATCCTATTGAACCAGAGAGGATGGTTCCGTTTCAAGAAATAGAAACCTTAACCAACAAAATAGAATTTTCTGGGTCCTGGAAGTGAAAAGTTCAAAGACTTCAGGTCTGTTTGGTCAGGTACCTCACACAATGTGGACAGGACCTGACAGTTCTCACTTAATTTCTTTGCTTTAGCCACTGGTGACAGCTCCAATCTCAACAGACTCTCCTCTTGTGGTCCCTTGATGGTGCCAAGAATTTTCAGGGTTACTTGTTTGTGCATTAACTTCCGGAAGGAAGCATCTTTGGTCTAGCATTCCCAGCAAAACTCCTGACATTCTCTTTGATGAAATTGACTTAGGTCTCATGCCCATACTTGAGTAAGTCATTAAGTCTGAAAGGATGTTATTCACTGCTTGGCTTAACCTGGCCACGTGCCCTGTCCCCTGGAGATGAAGGTAGTGCTGGAGAACCCAGCTTTCCCAGAACTTTTCGGGGAAGGAGCAGTTGGAAAGGTGGAAAGCAAGTAAGATGGCAACTAACGTTCTATTTTAAAGGATCAATATCATTGTTTTTTCATGGAAAATGACAGATGCCCTGTCATTCAAAAGCTGGTTTGTCTTACCTCTATTCATACTCATAGACACTAGAGCTCAGATCATGAAAAGATATGGACCCTTCCCTTTATGTTCAAGATATATATGGACCACCTGGACACATTGCAGTTTCTAGAGGTCTGATCAGATGTGGTTGGAACAATTTCCTCCATGGTTAACTGATCTATAGGTTCTCTGAATTCCTTCTTTAACATGGACTTCAAAGATGTGATGCAAATAGACAACAGCCTCAACTCTCCCCTGAATTTATTCTGGCCAAGTCTCTGTCTTCTGGTTACCTGGTTCTTTAGTTATTTGGACCATTCCTTGTCCTATTTATTTGCCCAAGTTTCAATCACTTTGCAATATCTTCCCCTGTTTTGTGTTCCCCGACCTCTAAATACCTACTCAGAGGAGGCTTCCCTTGGGTCAGTAGAAGCTGAGGGAGTTGGACACCAGGACATCAGGGTTTAAAGTCAATCACCTAATTGGTTCAGAAGAGGCAGGACATAGTGGTACCATGTGCCAGGCACAGTTCAAAACATCCGGCCCAGGGGAAGCCATTGTCCATCTAACCCCATCTTGAATATCTCTATAATTGTTTATCCTTTTCTGTATCTTAACTCCCTTGGCCTTTTCAACATACATTCCCTGTCTCCATCCAGACCCCCTGTGACAAGTTCAGTGACTTGGCTTCTAAGGGATGGCAGTGGTGTCCTTGTCTTTAAAAGGTTTTGAATCCCATTGGCCTTTCTGGGTCCTCGTATTTGCCACTCTTATTCTTCACTAGTGCTCATCCAATCCTGTATCCTTCGTGGAATAACACACTTCTGAATGTGGCATCCAAACTTCTTTCTGATGCTTTCCTATCTTTCAGTGACCACTAACAGCACTACCACTTTCAGGACACAAAGTGGACCCCTTATCTGTTGAGCGCAATTAATACTGTTAGAGCTAAAATAATAAAATTCCAAATTTCCTGTATTCTAAAATCAACTTATGGTAGGATGTACCACGCTTTAATGACTGCCTCAAGACCTTCCAAAACACATTACCACATTACAGGTGCCTATTGAAGATACATTCTGATTTTTAGAAATATTAAAAATGTGGGAATAAAGAACCTGTACCTTGGGCTGGGATTGTGGCTCAGCGGTAGAGTGCTCACCTAGTATGGGCGGGACCCGGGTTCAATCCTTAGCACCACATAAAAATAAAATGCATTGTGTTGTGTCCATCTACACCAAAAAATAAATATTAAAAAAAAAGAATCTGTACCTTAGGATCTAGGGAAGGCTACAGTTGAACTGTTCTGTTTGTTTAATTAACTATTCACATCAGTCAGTCTGCCCCATTCAATAGCCCTACCCCTCATTCTTTATTATAAATGTAAGCAAAAATAAACATGGAGACCAATCTTTGTCTTCAGTACTATTCCCAGACTCCAGCTGCCTCTGGACATGAACCCCTCAAGCATTATTCTCATGGGCCCTTCTTACAAAGTAGTTCCCCCTTATCTGAGGTTTTGCTTTCTGCAGTTTCAGTTACCTTTAGTGAACCATAGTCTGAAAATATTACATGGAAAATTCCAGAAATAAACAATTCACTAGTTTTAAATCACTTTTCTTACAATATATTGTCATAATTTTTCTAGTTTAGTTATTGTTGTAATTTCCTACTGTGTCTTAAATTGTAAATTAAACATTATCATAGGTATGTTGTGTATAGGAAAAAAACATAGTTTATATGGATTTGATATTCTTTGTGGTTTTGGGCATCCACTGAGGGCCTTGAACATAACCTTCCTGCAGATAAGGGCAGGACTACTGTACATCCTTCCTCCAGTCTTTCCTGCGTGACCTTTATAAATATGAGCTAATGCTGAGCATGGTGGTGCATGCCTGTAATCCTAGCAAATTAGAGGCTGAGGCCGGAGAATCACAAGTTCCAGGCCAGCCTCAGCAATTTAGGAAGACCCTGTCTCAAAACAAAAAGGGCTGGAGATATAGCTCAGCCCAGTACCACAAACAAAACAAAATACTCCCACCCCCCAAACCCACAGGTTTATCAGATCACTTCTTCAGCAAGCATTCTAATGTTTTCTTTTCTTCCTTGAAATCACTGATTTTACAAAAACATATATTGCAAGTCATCCTTCTTGAGCTTTATTCCCTATTTCCTGCCCAGACAGGCTCATGTACATATGATGTCTTCGTCTTCACATGAGGTTAGTGAATGCAGTTGCCTTCTCTGGCTATTACAATTTCAAGGGTGCTGTGGTCACTTACTTCAAGTTGACTGTCACTTCTACTTTGCTAACACATTCTTCTTAGCTGGTTATAATCAGGCATAGAATAATATTTCTTCAATAAGCAATTAGTTTAAATTTAAATAGTGCCAACTTTATTTGATGCTCGCTTTTCCACAGAACAATATTGTCAGTTGATGATGTCAGATCAATTGAACTTCTCCACTACACTCCTATGCCAATAATTTTGTCATCTTTACTTGGAAAGCATTATTGAATGCTGCCATAACGGGATCACAAGGCATGCTAGAACTAGTTGACAGCACATGGCCAGTGGAGAAAGGGTGTGAGTCAAGACCAGGGTAGGGGTATTCCCAGGGCCAGGCTGTGAATACAGGAGCTGTCCTGGATTAGGGAAGCTAGGCTGTGCAAGATCTGGTGTCCCATACCAAAGTAAAACATTCAGAAAGCTATTAATACCAAGCAGTCCAGACTTACTCCAGCAGCAGGTTATCCATGAAGGGTAAGGGACCTGTGTCCCATGGTCTAAGATGATCACAGCAAGAGTGGGTAATAGAATATAGCCCCCTGGAGAAGAGGACTGGTCAGAGTTGAGCTAAACAAGACATCAAAATCATGGTAAAAGTAAGTTAGGGACCAGGACAGGGCCCCACATCTCAGAACTGAGATCTAGATGCAAGGCACAATGGCCAGAAAGGAGTGTGTCATATTGGAGGCCAAAAATTGGGCAAACACAGCCGGAAAACATAGTAGGAGGGACCTACAGGTGTCCAAGGCTCACAGCTGACCTGACTGGAAGGAAGCAAGGTGGTAGGGGCTCTTATCCTTGATGCACTTTCTTCCAGTTAGAACTGGCCTCTCAGTGTTGGCAGGCTGGGGAGTCAGACCTGTAGGTGGAGCTTCTTAAAACAATCCAGCTGCTGGTTGCTAGGGAAGTCAACTGGCCTGGTGCCTCATTACATATTCCTGGGACAATGTTACTTCTGCTTTTATTTTCACCCAAATGTTCTCTACCAGGTGTCAAACCTCAGGTTTGTGGGTTTCCATATGTATCCATGACTTCATTACTGAAAAGGTCACGCTCCCCCGACCTCCTACTGTGTTTTCTGGGTGAACAAGTGATATATCCTCATATTGCTGTAATACAACAATGGCTAGGAGTTATTGACTGCTGATCACATCCCAGGTACCATGCTAGCTAATTTACATGTTACCTTATTTAATTCCCACAACCTCCTTTAGAGTAGTTATTGTTACCTCTATTTTTAAAAAGAGGAAACTGAAGCTTATATGGTTTATATAATCAACCCAAGTTCACACAGCTGAGATGCAGAAGAGCTCAGATTTAAACTTAGCCTTTTCTGACTGCCTATCCACTGCTTCAAATGTCTACATTTATACAGTGACATGCCCAAACCATTTTCACTAAACTTATAAGTCACTAGGTTTTTTTTGTCTACCTACCTACCTACCTACCTCTTAGGGATCTAACCTCTTTGACTCCATATTACCATGGATTGCCCTATGCAAGAAGTAGATCATTAATACATACTTACTGAATGAATGAATATAGTTCGAAATGTGATTAACTGCACCACTCAGTTCTCTCTTGATTTGGGTATTTATAAAGCCAACTAGTAAGAATTCTTCATTTTGCTCTATATGAAATCATCTTAAGAATGGGAACACATTCTGAGAAATGTGTCCTTAGGTAATTTTGTCATTTTGCAAACTTCTAGAGTGTACTTATACAAACCTACATGATATAGCCTACTATCCACCTAGGTTATATGGTGTATGTGTGTGTGTATGTAGATATGCAAGTGTACACATGCATACGCACAACACATATGTAAGATAGCCTATTGCTTCTAAGCCATGATAGAAGAAAAAAAGACTAAATCAAATATGAGAAAAAGACGTATGAAACCGATGCTGGTGTAACAGCAGACTCTTTTACTGTAATTTTTTAAAAATAAGAAATATACTCAAAAATAGTAGTATAGTATAATAGATACATAAACTGGTAATGTAGTTGTTTATCATTACCAAGTATTGATACTCTACAAAATTGCACGTGCTGTACTTGTATCCAACTGGCAGGACAAGGGTTTGTTTACACTAATGTCCATGAGTCATATGTTGTACTACGGTGTTCTGATGGCTGCAACGTCACCAGGCAACAGGAACTTTTCAGCTCTATTATTATAATCTGATAGGACCACCATTGTGTATGCAGTCTGTTGTTGACCAAAATGCCGTTTTGTGGTGCAAGGCTGTACTACAACCATGAACATGTCCACTGCCAGGAAGAGAAAGCAAAGCATTCAATGAATAGAACTGAAGAGACACACTTTATTACCAAATTAAGTCAGATGTAGGCAAATGTGTTTATATGTTCAAGTAAATTTGAGAGTTTAAAATAAAGATAGATATATACATATATACACACACAACACATTATTTTCTTTATAAGTCCAAATCTGAATATTGTTCTCATCATATCATCTTCATGTGTGTCTAAACCAGAGGTTGCTAATATACTGCCCACAGTCCAAATCCAGCTCATGCCTTGTTTTATGTGGCCTGTGAGCTAAGGATTGTTTTCACATTTTTAAAACAGTTGGGGGTAAAAAAATCAAGAAAAGAACTATACTTCATATCATGGGGAAATTATGTGAAATAAACACTACAGTGTACATGAATAAAGTTTTATTGAAACAACTGGCTTGCTCATTTACCTATCACTATGGCTATTTTCTCATTATAGTGGCAGAATGGAGTAATTGAGAAAGACTGCATGGCCAGGAAAGCCTAAAATACTTCCTGTCTGGCTCTTTATAGAAAAAGTTTGCTGTCCTCTGGTCTAACTAAATAACACAGGATGTCACAGCATTTTTAGTATCGCTTAAAGTACATGTATTATTTTAGTTTCTAAAATTTCTACTTCAAGGACACTTTGTTGTACATTTCCATGTTCTCCCAACCAAGGCAACTTTTTCTCTGTGATATTCTCTACCGCTTCTGCTGATAGCAGCCAACACCTTTATGCAGAGTCAATAACAAACTGAGAAGCTGGTGGCTTCTATAAGAGGTTCTTACAGAATATAGGGCACGGAAATGGATTCCCCAGATTCCATCAACTGATTCAGGGTGATGTGATGGGATCAGATAGACGAGGGAAAGCAAATTGCTGTTTTTGTCATCACCCAGGACCTAAATAAAGATAAAAAAATGACTCAGATTGACCAGGCACAGGTACCACCTATCAAAATATTTCTGGAAGGCAACAACATGGTACTGTGAACACCCTATCCCGTGCCAGCTTGAGAGCAAACAAAGGGTGCAGGACTCCCTACTGCCTAAGATCAAGTTTAGTTTGTGGTAAACTTCAAGGGAATCTGTTTTATTTGTTTATTTTTTAATTTTTAATTTTTGGAGATCCAAACATAAACTCTTTTGTCTTTCTGTATGTCTGCCTTTCTCTCTGTGCATATATTTCTTTCCAAAATTTAACAAAAATTTACTGATCATTTATCATGTGTGATGCACAGGGCAAGGCTCTGGGATACAAAAATATATAAAATAAGCTCTGAAAGCTTAAAATTTATAACAGAAATGAGTTGTGATGCTTCTTCTTGACCTTCATCAGTGAATAACACTCTTGGCTTCTGTGGCCTTGTGTTCTCCTAGTTTTATTTCTTGGGTTTCTGGGGTCTCCAGTGCCAGATCTTTCTTTTCTATTCAATCTCTACATGTTCAGGGCTTAGTCCTGGTGCCACTTTTCTTTTGATTCTATCTGCCCTCCCTAGGCAATCTGCTCCCAAATTCATCTCTCCAGCAATTCTTCTGAGCTCCAGAACCATATCTACAAGTCTACAGTGGACATCTCCACTTAGACAGAACTTCTGATTTTCCCCTGCAATTCTGTGACTGACCCAGGACTCCCCATCTTGCCGGCAGACACTTCTGCTTATGTGTCCCATCATGGAAGAATTCTTAAGCCCACCATAACAGTAACTCCTTCCCCCTACCACCATCCCTACACAGTCATTGAGTTCTTGAAAACAGCTGTTTGACTCTAATCATTTGTTCCTGTGCACATCACTGCCTTTACCTGAGTAACCATCATCTCTCACACAAACCACTAGAGTGCCCTTTCAACCAGTCTTTCTACAAATGCTCCTGCCCTATTGTATTTGATCTTCCCACAGTTAATATGTTTCTGTAAAACTTCTTTCAAAAAGATACAGTGTTAGTCAAGTATGTGTGTTGTTTTTAACTTTTTTTCTTGGTAATGTATTGTGAAGATCTTTTCACATCAATATAGCTAGAATTGCCTCACAAATTTTAATAACTGCCTACCTTTCACTTGTATAGCTCTATTATCATTTATTTAACTGCTTCTCTATTGATGGCTGTTTTCAGTTTTTAATGATTATAAAGAATGCTTTACTGAAGGTTCTAGAAGAGTCATCCTTCAAAATATGTGTGAGCCTATTTATTGGATAAATATATAAAAGTAGAATTGCTAAGTCCAAGGCGTTGCATTTAAAACTGTGATAAATATTGCTAAATTGCCCTCCACGGAGGTTGTACCAACTTTTCCTCCACCAAATATATAAGAATGTGCCTGCCTCTCAGGCTGGCCAGCCAAGTATGTTATTAAATGCTAGGATTTTTGTCAACCTAATATATAAATAATATGTTTCAATGCAGTTGTAAGTGCATATCTATAGGTATGAGAAAAGGTAAGTGTTTTTACATATTTTTAAGATCCTTTTGTACTTCTTGAACTGAAATCTGTTTATCACACCGTTGGCCCAATTTTCCAGAGTTTTTTATATTTTTCTTATTGGTTGATGGGAATGCTTTGTTCTAATCTAATTTCCAGTTCCCATCAGATATCCAGGTGTTTTTAAAAAGTTACAATTTTGTCCATTTTTAATTCTAATAATAAGTAATTATCAAGGGGGTAAACTCCATGATGAGAGGCCCAAACATAGAGCTTATGAATCCATTTGTGCAAGTACTGACTTCCTGAAATAGCTTGACAAGACCACAGTGTGCGTCTGTCTACTCTACTTCATGTCGTTCTCCTAACAGCTCATGGAGACATGTACTATTATTAACCATAAAGTGAAGTTCAGAGAACGAGAATGTCCAGGGTCACACAGCTAGTAACCTTCTCTTCTGAAATCTTCAAAGCCTAGCAATCCATCGTCACTGGCCACTTCTCAGCACACCAGACTCTTGTTTCTTGATTTTAATTTCTCCTGATCTGTTCACTTTCTTTCCTTCTACAAACATCCAGTGGACATTTTAAGTACCTACTATGTGTCAGGAATCCTCATGGAGTTTATATTTTAAAGGAGTCCTCAACCATAACCAATAAAAACAAATGGTAATAAAGTCTCAGCAATAAAGTTGTATTACTGTGAAAAAATAATTCATTGGATGGTTGGAAAGGTGGACAGAGAAGAGTACTTCAGGCAGAAGTGGCTAGGAAGCGCCACTTTGAGTAGATAACATGTAAACAAAGATCAGAAGGACCCAAAGGATATTCCAGGAAGAGTAAGTCCTTTGAAACAAGAGTAAATTCAGTGTGTTTGAGGAATAGAAAAAAGGCTGGTGTGATTGGAGTCAGGGAGAGTGGTTGGGGATGAGGTTGAAGAGGTGGTCTCAGATGCCACGCAGGGCTTTGGAGGCCGGGAAAGGAGTCTGGACTTTATTTCAGGTGCAATCAGAAGACACGGAAGGATTCTGAGAAGTGAAATAATCTGATTGATGTTTTATGATGTATGATTTATGTCTCTAGCTGTGCTGTGGAGAATGGGGACAAGCGTGGAAGCAGGAAAACCATTTAGAAAACTATTACAGGAACACAGGAAGGAGATAATGGTGGTCTACATCTGGGTGGTAGCAGTAGAGATAGAAATGCTTTGGAGATAGAACTGACCTGAATTCCTCAAGGACTGGACATGAAAACGGAGGAGAAGAGAAAAACAAAACAAAACAAAAAAATCTACTTCTTGTCTAGCTTGAGCAATTGGTGGATGGTGAAACCACATAATTTGAAGAAGGCTAAAAGAATCTGGAATTCCATATTATTTCCCCTTTTTCCCTAGATAGCCTGAACCTCATAGACTATGAGTTTTAAAACAAACAAACAAACAAACAAAAATACTTCCAAATATCTTTATTTTCCTTTCCTACTTGCCCTTTCATCCTTCTTATCTAAGAGAACATCCTCTAGCCACTTCCTCTGCTCTCATCTATTCCTCAACCCACTGCAATCTGGTTACTATCCCCTTTTATCAATATACTTCTTGCCAAACACACCAATGACCTCCTTGTGCTAAATCCAAGACTTTTTCAGTCCTCATTTCTCTTGGCCTCTCTCTAGCATTTAATACTGTTGGTATTTCCTCCCTTGGCTCCTGAAGCTCTCCTTGCTCCTGGTCCTAGCTCTCTGGCACATGTTAGACAAGTACTCTACCATTGAGCTGCATCCTCAGCCTGTTTTATTTTATTTTGAGACAAAGTCTCCCTAAGTTGCCCAGGCTGACTTCAAACTTGCCATTCTCTTGCTTCAGTCTCCCAGGGAACTGGGATTACAGGTGTGCATCACCATGCTCGGCTGTTCCCTACACTTCTAAATGTTGGCGTTTTCCTAGGGTTCTATAGCAGGTCCTCTTATTTTCTCTCACTATCCCTTCTGTCTCGGGGATTTCATCTACTTCTGTGGAACTATACTTATTCTGATGACTCTCACATAGATCTCTCTCCTGAGTTCTAGACCAATCTGTTCAATTATGTAGAAGATAGCTTCACTTTGACATCCCATGGACACTTCAAATGCAACATATTTAAAATTAATTACTTTCCTTCCTCAACCTGCTTTTCCTCATAAGGTCCCCATCTTGATGAATGATACCACTGTTCTCTGACTTACCTAAGCCATAAATCTCTCCTTATTCTTTAATCCTGCAGATATAATCAACAATCAAATTCCCTGACTCTATGCCTAGAATGTTTATTGAGTCCTTTGCTTCTTTCCATCTTCATTTTTGCTGCCTTAGGTTAGATGTCCATCTTTTCTTTCCCATAGTGCTAAAATAACCTCTTAACTAGTCTCCTTGCTCACAATATTACTAATAAATTCTGCAAACTGGAGTGCTCTTTTTAAAATGAACATGTGATCACTTCATGCTCCTTAAAATTAATTGATGGCTTTCCTTTGGCCTCAAGATAAGGTCAAATGTTTGAGGAAGATAAACAAAATCTTTCACATTACAAAAGTGTACTGATCTTTCTGGATGCATCCTTCAGGACTTCTGCCATGCATTCGTACAATGTGTTCATTGAGAACCTTTTACCTGCTGGGCACTGTCCTTTGCCTTCAAGTCTTTGGGCACACCTTTTTACTTTAAGGTCTTCACACAAGCACTTTCTTTGCCAGGAACACCTTCCCTTTGACTCGCCCAGGTGTCTGGATCACTTCCACTCATCCTTCCGTACTCCTCTCAAGATTCATCTTCTGAGCTCGGGTACCTATGACTCCCCCTGAAGAAACCACCTCCCCGTGTACTCATCTGCCTCCTCATTACGCTATAAGCTCCTGCAAGTCAGAGACTGTGGTCTTATTCATCTTTGTATTCCCAAGGCCTAGCCCAGTGCCTGACCCACAGCAGGCACTCAATAATGAATAGATAAAGGGGCAG